TCCACCAGAAAACTTTAAGAAATGAAAATGGGCTTACGGTGGCTTATGGGGCGGGGCTGTGGCTTCGTCGCGCGCGGACGGAGCTTTTCTCACGTGTTTCGAACTACGAAAGTACACTGGTGTTCAAATCTTGGGGACGAAAGCAACTTTCGATCACTGTGCCTCTGCCAGACATAGCTCGATGAAATTCATATCATATCAAGAGAGAACCTTAACGATATTGTACAGAAAGCAACTGACAGAAACTCGGAATAAGACGAATTGTTATGACATTTTTATTCAACCATGTCGATTACACATAAGTCTTCACGATTTATCCTGGTACTACAAAAGAAGTTACACGGATCCTAATAGGGTGTGTGATCACCACGGACAGCAATACATGCTCTGCACCGCGATCCCATACTCTCCACGAGGTTGGTAATGAGTTCCTAGGGCAGGGCGTTTTACTCCTCATCAGTGCATTTGACAATTGCTGGATCGTCATTGGTGCATTTGGTCGTGCTGCAATGCGTCTACCCAGTGCATCCCACACGTGCTCGATGGGATTTAGGTCGGGGGAACGGGCGGGCCACTCCATTCGCCGGATATCCTCTCGTTCTAGAAGCTCCTCCACCTGTGCTGTTCGATCGCGCATTGTCATCCATGAAAATGAAGTCAGGGCCGATTGCAGCTCTGAAAAGACGGACATGATGTAGGAGTCCGCTGACTGGTGAGGGTTCCATGCTCCAAAATCTGGAGGTCAGTACGGCCATGCAGCATGATGCCTCCCCATACCACAGTTCAGATACTATCACAGATACTACCACACATACCACAGTTCAGGTACTACCACAGTTCTTTGCAGCTACTCGTTGATTGAGAAAATTTTTTTTCATACCCATAGACTGCCTCGATTTGCGCGGTCGGCCATATTTGGCACTTTATTCAAGCTCTTCTTCCACCGAGAAAAGTCTAGCTTCCTGTGCATATCCCTTAGGCGAGTGGCAACATGCTCCCACACTTTCATTTACTTCCACCCAGTCATTAGTGTTTTATGTTACTTTATCCATCTCGTCCCTAAGTTTTGCACACCAGTGTAGTACCTCCTCCATGCTTGCGGACAGGGCCACACGTCTAAAGAAGGCGTCTCCCCAAACGAACGCGGGGCGTGCTTTGAATAGCGCTCGGTTGTCCTCATATTGTATGGAATGACCCGCTAGACATTGTATTTGACGCGCTGATCAATCGGTTTTAATGCTCACTGCAAACATTTTCAGGCACGGGTACTGTACAGCCATCCAATGGTTAATGGCATGCGCCCATGTTCCCATTTCCTTGCTGGAACGTGTCGATATGAAGAGAAATGCAAGTTCAGTCATGGGGAAATTGTTCCCATGACGGAGCTGAACGAATACAAGGAACCAGATTTCAAGTGAGCGTTTATTCAGTATCTATTAAAGCCTTTTTTCGTCCTGTTTGTTAGCTGCTACAGCGCTTGTGAGGATCATTGTAGCCAGAAAACCTTTCCTTGAGCACCTTTTTCCCTTATGTGCCAACTGTTTGTTACTCTGAACTGAATTCTCACCAAGCAGGGCACACCATCGTTGTGATAATCACAACGGGGGTCGTATCTGACCGCGAGGGAGGGGGGATGTACTTGGTCTGAGAAAAATTTTTTCGATAGTTGATTTCTCTTGTTTCATGGACGCTATAAAAAGAGGAGGGGAACGGGGTCATATTTGCTCGTTGTTGGGAGAGAGGAGGGTTGTATGTGTCTTTAAGAGGAATTTGCGGCGTTGGGAAAAAACTTTTCCCGATTGTTGCCTTTTAGCTGCTTTTCCGGTTTCACAGGTGTTCCCTCTTTCCGCTCGCACAGCAAATTGGGGGAAAAACGGAACTTTTCGGGGCATAGCCGAGAAAAAAACTGGAAAAAGGTTAGGTGGTAGGAAGTTGGAAAATCTAGCATGTGGTAGGTAAGTAGTTTGCAGGAATTTGTCACGATGCGATGGCGTGTCCTGCTACCAGAACAATTTTTGGCGCTGTAAAGCAAGCCCGAACTTTCGATCGTGTATATGAATTGAGAGCTATTGATAACTCTCAAAAATGCATTGACATGGCGACCATACATCTAACTATTGCTGCATTACTTCTGCTTATTTACTTTCGTTTCAGCTCCTGACTCGTAGGAAGCTTGTTTTGGATATACGTTACAAACATCACCACCGCTGTGGGGAAATTAGGTCGCCGTTATGGATATTGACATGCGAAGTAGCGTGAAACAGTTCTGAAGACCTAACAGTGAGCGTCTCTTCCAAAATTGGAACCAATCTGGTGCGTTAGATGGCGCAGTTTGATAGGCTAATTTATTGTCAGATGACGAATTCTATTCGGATGTCTGAAACTTTTATTTTTTCATGATATGAGCGATGATTTACTACCGCCATCGATTAGCCATGAATATACGAACAATAGCGATGAGAAGAACAATTCATGGCAAGAACAAAAAGGGTCACGGTGTGGGAACGTGACAGTCGCGATCGTTCGGGAGCCTGGCAAGGTGGTGGCTTTGGGCTGAAGCTGATGCAGAAAGATGGGCTATAAACTTGGCGAGGTCAGTGCATTGAATTCGAACAGTGTACTGCTTACCAAAATAACTATGGACAACTACCCGTTAGTTGTGATTTTTTGTTTACCTTGTGATTTTTCGGCTATCTATTCTGTTGGCCGAGATGAAAGTTGGCTCAGCACTGCACATATTACCGTACTAGCTTCTTCTAGGGCTTAATCGCTGCCTTTACGTTGTTAATCCCTATTCACTACCTTTCTTGTTTTATGTGTTCCTTTGGACTCACTGCCTCATTTCATGATTTACAGGGACTCGGAAAAAATAACGACGGGATCGTTCATGCCATCCAAGCAAAGATCTGCCCTAAAAGTGAGATTCACACACAGTTTATGCTTCGCTTTGGAGTTGTCGATAATGCTGGGTTCCCAGCAAAATTCTTGGTCCGCGGCGGGAACAGAACTCACGCTTTCAAGGAAGTATGCTATCCATCCGCTACTAGGGTATGAAAGCCATTGAGTTGACTGCCCTGGTAGCGTAACAAGTAGCATACTCCCCGGAGAGCGTGAGCGGCGGGTTTGGGTCCTGCCTGGCATCAGGAACCATGCCGACTGATCAGCATTTTATTATAACAATCTATAAATATTTGCTGTTTACATATGGTTTTTGCAGACAGTTCAGTTGATGCCTGCATGAATGCGCGGAAGAAAGTGGTTGATGGTATGCAAAAGGTGAGTCTTTTTTCCTCTGTACCGATAGTTTTCAAGTCGGAAATGCGTAAAGGGGCGGAGTTTCTACTGCGTATCTTTATAGAACCTACCCGTGTACAATTAATCTCGATATATTGGGTGCAGTCCTCCGTCTCACAAGGAGTTTTGGGGTTCCTGAGCTCTGTTGGGGGAAGCGAGAAAGGTTCAATACCACTTTGCGAGATTGTAGCTTCCCCTGAATCGTATGTTTAGACCTACTTGTTGTGTTACTTTGCTTGGGCTAACAGTCATGGTGTTGTACAACCACACAGTTCACCGATATGCCACTATGTTGCTAGAATCAGTAAGGCAGCCTTCATGATTTGTGACTCGGCGTTTCGAGAGAATCAGCGTTCTGGGCGAACCAATTTTCAAGCGAAAAGGAAAGGCATCAAGCGGCGCTCAAAGCGCCGATTCCCCCAAAGCCAAAAATCACATGTTGCTTAGAATGCTGATACTCTCGGAACGTCCAGTCGCAAAGTATGACTGCAACCTAAGGTTGCCCAAGTTTCAAGAGAGCGTAATGATGGAAGCTCGTCCCAGTGATGGACCCTGGCTATAGTGCTGTAGTATAGTAAACAAAGTTTTCTAGAAGTCCGTAGGATATCTTCATCATAACGATCTTGCCGGCTGGAGAGAATCCAACCAATTTTCCCGAAAGTAAACTAGGTGGTTTTAGGTCAAGTTGCGGGTGCGCGAAGAGATGAAGCACGCTCACGATTCACTTGATGTCGATATTTTCGCCTTCTTGAATCGTAAGCTTGAACAACAGACAACAAAAACTGAGCTTGAAGAAATTAAAGAAGATATTCGCATGCTAGCAAAAAGTGATACGAAGTAAATGATGTTTCTGATCATTTTTTCATTGTTTTAGCCCCTCTTCAATTGATTTATTTTTATTCTCATTCTCTTGGATGGAGGTAAGGCTTTTATAATGTTTCAGAACGTTAGGTGTCAAAGGTATCGATCTCGAATGTGAACTGAAACAGTTGCGTGGAAAGGAGAAGAAATTGCGAGAAGTGAGTTAATTCTATATGGTTATTGATTTCTGAACTATGGCAACGGCGCAACACCAACTAATTGAGAGCGCTTCATACTTCACGATCCGATCGCTTGGATCGCAAAGTATGAACGCGCTGTAAAAGACACTTCTCGAACTAACCGATGGAAAGGCTCCTAAAAGGGGTGAATTTTTCGTTGAAGTTCTCATTTTCTTTTGCCATAGTAGAAAAAGGAGTACCCAGTATTGGAAAAGGCGAAATGCCTATCCATCTCCTCATCCAGTTGTTGTGGAATGTCACCTAAAGGAGAGGGTAGGGTACTAAATAACTTGGAATCATTGAGTCTTAGTCACCATATCTTTTCGCTCTGTGAATGCCTTATTGATGCGATTGTAGTCCTCAAGAATCGTATCAAGGGGCGTGGCAGGCCACGTGGATTTCGGATGGCGCCAGCTCATTTTCCACCAATCGCTAATCGCCACTGGCCCCATCTGGCAGCGACTCTAGGAAAACAGGCTGGCGCCGCGCCAAAATCCACGTCACACGCCCCATCAGTTCGGTTGACTATAAATGGGCTAGTCGGTCAAAAGAAACAGAGAGGGCAGTGGTGGCGTAAGGTAATTTTTGACCCGCTGAGGCGCTAATATGAGAAGAGGATAGTGCCAGTGTCCAGGCAAAAGAGAGCTGAGTTTAGGCTTAAAAGCCATAGGTGAACATATTTGTTGAAAAGCAGCTCAATGCAAGTGATAGAAGCGGTTAATGGTTAGCAGGTGTGTTTTTGGGTCAAATTTAAGATGCTTGGACCTTCTTTCTACATGTGAATCTTAGAGTTTCGGGATGAAGTGGTACAGGAATAGAAGTCCCCGTTTTCGCTCGCGCGCGTCCGGAGGGTCAAATCTTGGATTAGTATCCGTCCGAACCAACCAAACTTCCCGTCCCTGACTAGTAAGTTGGTACCGTACTCATCCGGAAAGATCAAAACGGTAGTTCTCACAAGTTGGATGGGTACCGCAAGTCATCGCATGGATCAAACCATATATAGATAACATCGCTGCAATTGAGATTTGAAGTAGAATTCTTGGCTTTTACCAATCATTCATTAATCAACTTTTCAATGGATTCCATTTGTTATTTGTTATTTTTTTGCTGCTTGTTTATTTTTTGTTTATTTGTTTTTCCCTCTTGAATATGTTAAAAATCGAAAATTGTTCAAGGGTATCGCTCGGAATAAGCACGACAAACGTACAGTGGATCGGATGAAAGTTCAGCTGATTGAATTGGAGAAAGCGATCGAAAAAGTGCAAGCAAAGCAACAACGCGTTCACTCTGAAATAGGCGATCGACAGAAAAAGAAGAAGAAAGACATTTTCTGAAGCAGTTTTGTAGGAGCATAAATTATTCCATCATTTGCTATTTTTTGTCTTGAATCAATCGTGACTCGTGTACATGTTTACTTCAACATTGACTCCTCAATTCACTCTGACAAGGTTTTATAAGTGGACGGGCTGTGTGCGATCGAGTGACTGAAAATGGATCTTTAATCCTGACTCGCACGTCTCGGCAACTCAATTTAACTTTTTTTGGGAACTAAACATCACGTTTCCCCTTGTTGTAACCTCGACATGATGTCGGATTCAATTAATCCCGTTGAGCGGGTTTCTGGAGAAAATCTCTTAGTAGCCTTACCTTTGAACTTTCTCGTCTTCTTTAGAGACATGGAATAATTACAGAAGAAGAAAACCATTACCGGGTTGGTGTGGGGTGCTCTCGAAATGACGTCGGAAACGCTAATGTGGAAACGGCGTTTGGGCGGGTAGCTTGCACATTATTTAACCAGTTTTCAAGACTATGAAGAAATTATAAGGTCGAAACGTCAGGCCGGAAGGTTCCATCAAACAACCTCTCTTGGCAAGTAGGTACAATTCTTCACGGGATGCACGAGAGCCAAAGTGTACCTGCTATAGGGGCGTCGCCGCCCCATGAGCTCGGGGGTCGTATGCTATACTTCCCCTCGAGGGGAGATATCCCCTATTAACTCCACTCATCTATGCTGATGCCTCTCGTCTCTCTGGCTGTCGCGCTCTGCATCCATACTCTTCTGACGCACGCTCTGAGCGATTATAGTACAGCGCAGAGAATAATGGATCTCTTCCCCTCTCCCCCAACACATGCCGCTGGGGGAGATACCGCGTGATGCAGAGAGGCTGAAGGAGAGAGACGATGAGCATTGATAGAGATAACGGCAGACAGCGGAGGTTTACTGGGGGATATCATCGCCTCGACGGGACCTATAGCATGCGGTGCAAGATCTGCTTATCTGTTAAAATAGAAGCATGGTATGCTGTCCGTTTAATGTTGGCCTTCTAATGCACACCATATCCTGGGCTGCGCACTTCATGTGAACGCAACTTAGGATTTGTTTCTCGCGGGATTTTTTCATTAGAGACAATTGTCAGTTTGACAATTGTCTTTTGCTGGACAAAGGCATTATAATTGTCTTAGAACGGCAACACCTCACAAAAGCGCCACGTTTAATGAAGGTGTGAAGCCACGCCCTTCTCATCTCCTGGATATGGTGCATACATGCATGCATAGCTATTTTTCCTAGCAAATAGTCCAAGCGCAGTCACTTTTTCATGTCAACTTTAGCACAAGTGTCAGCTGATGTCCTTGCCGTCTGGCATTCTGCATAGTTTATTATGTCCTAGATTGTGTTGTTCTTTTTGTCGAATTTCCGCATAGGATTTTGCGAGCTCTTAAACTTATACAGAGCGGACAGATCTCCTATGAAACAGATTTGTGAGTGGAATTTGTTCGAAGGGAATGAAAACTTGAAAACTCTAAGCTAGTGTAATTTTTCTTTTTATTTTTGTCTCAGTCATCATCATCATGAAAAGCAACAGTTTGCTTACAGCGTGGAGTAGAACGATCTGTGAACTTTGTATTTGTTTAGCGCGTATTTAACTAGCGATTTTTGGCGCGTAGTGGGTGCATTATAGAAAGGTCCAAATGTTGACAGACCATGGGATTACTGCAACGATTTCTATTTGCCACTCCAGAGTTACGCGTTGAACTAGCATCTGTCATATGGAAGTCAGTTTTCAGTGAAGGGAACGGATTTTCCTGAAGAGGCAAAGGAGTTTGAGCTATAGCTGGGGACGAACTGTGAACAGAGCACTTCCTGCCGTTGGAGAAAAATTTCGCAAAATACGAATCTTCCCCCCCCCCCCTCCCTTCGAAATGTCCTCCTCTGGAAAGGTCACCCTTCCTCATCCCTCCTGTCCACAGTGCCTCTAAACTCTCTGGAATTCGTCCTTTCTTTCGTTTTCTCCAAGTCCCTCCTTACCCCTCCTTCGTCTCCCGGAATAAACTTGTCGTTGAACGAGCAGGGAGTGGGTTTTAGCACGTGAAACGGGAAAAAACCGATAAAAGACAACATTCAGGAACTTTTTTCGCTGGCAAATACGACCCCCTCCCTGAATACTACCTTCTTCGCCGGGGATCACCAACGTAGGACCTGCCGTGGCTGTGAAGAGTGCTTCTAGCAGCGCTTCTCCACTAGTCTTGTGTGAACAGAGTGCAAACTCTCCGAAACTGAATTGGAGAACTAAAAATCTTGCAGGCTCTGGCCTATGCCGTTCGATTGATGTCAAAAATCGAATTATTGCTATTGATTTATGTGAATAATCGGTCTGCATCGATGAATTTCTGTATAGTAATAGGATTTTAGCTAGGCGACAGACGGAGAATGTTCGCAGGAGTGCGTCAGCAGGCTATAGTGTAGTTGATGTAAATACGGCGGCACCATTAATCGGTAGGAGGGTACAAAGTCCATCGTAATCACAACTCGGGTCATTGCTGTCACCGTCGTTCACCACAGTCGCGTTCATCCAGTTTTTCTTCTCAATCAACATCGACTCGCCACTTTAGCCCCTTCGTTTTGTTTGGTCAAAGTTTCCGAATTTTTTTCCAAGGGGTTGTTTCCAATTACGTCAATTTTCGTTCGGTTACTTTTTATCGATTTTTTCTCGCTGTCGGATTTGGCAACAAAAGCCATTGGTTGTCTGAAATGGAAAACGCATTTCAAAGCAGTAACGGCCAAAAGAAGTTTGGCACTATTACAGCTTGATGAATGAGCACTGCTGTGTGGTCCAGCAAACCACTTGACGCAAGTTATAGGCGAAAAAGTAATCTTTGGTACTCCTTGTCCGTTTTCTTCCACTACCAACAACGAATATCTTTTAGTATATCTTCAAGCGTCTAGAAAACATAATTAGACTTATTGACTTATGCCGTGATGTAACCTTTGCTGTTCCTTGGGTTGAAAAGTGAACGGGCCATTGCTGGAATTATAGACTCTGGTTCACCTTCGGGAAAGTTAGTTGCGGAAACACTTATTGAAAACTGAGTCCATAAAATTCTCGTGGGTGGGAGCTTTTCATTGTCGTTGGCACTAATTGAACTCTTAACTGCTCGCAAAATTCGCAAAAACAGGCCATTTTTGAGCACGACTCACTGCGTTGCAGAAGAGGAAATTCGTTCTTTGACATAGTTTGAGCTTCCAGCTGAAACATTCAACTAGTCAGCGTCGCGCTCAATACGAAATCCTCTGGCTTTGGGATTAAAGTATTTTGGCGCCGCGCTACATAGCGCGGGCGCCCAAAATATCTTTAAATATCCGGCGCCTGAGGCGGCGGCGCCACAACAACAGTTTTCGATTCTACGAATGTGATAATCGTAACTACAGTCAGAGACCACATTCAGCTAAATCCTATACATGGAGAAAAATGTCGGTCAAAACTGGCTCAGTCCTGATAGTTGGGCATGAAAGGGTAAAATAGTTGCCCATTTTTTTATATCATTTGCAATATAAAAATTTTTCATTAAACGTAATTCGCGTATCCAGGAGCGTGGTAGCGCAGCGCCAGCCCATTCCTACCGATGTTGCTCTTGCCTGCCTTGCTTCGTGAAAGCAGCTGGCCACTCGCCTAGATTGAGGTATCCTGACACCCCTTTTGATCCGCACCAACGAGACTGTTAATGATGTGCTACCGAAGCTGTATGATGTGCTACCAGCAGAAGACTGGCTGAACACTACTGATAGAGCGTGGCTATTCCCAAAATTGCAATAGACAAGAAAGATTGCGGTGTTCGGCGTGATAAGGAGGGGGACATCGAGGAATTAGGCAGTTTAGGTACGTTATTACTGTTGATACCAGTGAAGAAGAATGAGTATCTAATCACAGGAGGTTCAAATTGATATGGGGGGACTGAGAGGAAATGGAGATGGGCAGCGCTAATGTGCAGTTGACGTCTTCGCAAACAGTCAGGGAGCAGACTACCTCACTTGAAGCGTTTTCTACCACTGGTTGTTTTCTGCCTGAATCGATCACTAATCGGTGATTTCTGCAAGATATCGTGGCTGGGGGTGAGCTCACTTCACTACTCCTGACACCGCCCCGACGATTGGGGACCACTTGACTGCGAGAGTGACACCAAGGATCCTTCCTGTGGAGATCATGTCCCTTTTCAGGGTATTCCTTGACGGCTCTGTCTGGTCGTCTGCGTTCTGAGCCTAAGTTTTGATTAGAAAAATGGGGACTTGCCGACTGGTGTTCCCCCTCCCCCCAACGACGTTAGCGCCGGATAGATTAAAGTCCAAAAAAATGAAATGAGGAAAGCTGTTTAAGAAAGTGGTTGCTCAGCATCCGGTGAATGCCTCTCCTAAACGAAGTCGAGTGAGTGGCGAGGTAAACAGCTGAGTTGATGGCTATTTTGCATTTTGTGAATCAAAGAATAACAGTAATATTCGAGCTTCAGCGCTGGCTTCATACTACGCTAAACAGCACCTCACTAGTCACTTCTGCGTTTGGCACAGATTCTAGCTCTCGTGAAGGGATCCTCGTGATCTTCATAGATCTGGCCCACTGTTTGACCTTTGGCTGGGTCCTGGAATATATGCGCTTGCCCTTGCTGAACAATGGACGGATTATCGATAAATCGGAATTTTCCGTAGATTTGCTTGGTAGTTCCTTTTTTCTCAATCTTGCCCAATCAAGTATACCATGTGTTGTTTCTCTCTAATCGATTGGAATTTCAATAAAGGGGTTAAATTCTCCCTCACCGTTCATGTGTGAGCGTCGTGTTCACATAATCATTGTAGTTCCTGACTTGCTAGCAGTTCTGATTATTTCCAGGCCATTCTCACAAGATGTCCGACGTCATTCTGAACTTCATAGCCGGTGGTGTTGGCGGCTCATGTACGGTGATCGTAGGTCATCCGTTCGACACAGTGAAGGTATGTTTGTGGAATATCTCTCTGTTCCGCGTTCGGTTTTTGATGTCTTGGAAGGTTTAAATATGGGCCTTGATGAGTTTGGGGCGTTACTACGATATGCGCGGGTGCAATAGTTCGTCGGATTACTGAATCGCTATTTAGCACAGGGGGTTTGAAAAGCAGCAAATTTTAAGCGCTCGGATACTATGCCAAATCTCCGATGTTTCAAAATATTAGCCGTCATTGAGACCGCATTCAGACTACGCGGCAGAATCGCTCGAGCGATTGGATCGCGCGACCACGACTGGGGGCGCTACCGCCAAAGGTGCCCCAGCAGCACAGTTCAAACTGGCACTGGGTGAGCGCGTCCCGATTTGAATCCTACCGTTGCGGAAGTGCACCGCTTGGCGGTTGGGCGCTCTCGGTCGTGGTCGCGCGATCCAATCGAGCTATGCGATCGCGAAGTCTGAACGCGGTCTTGGTACTGGAATGTGCGAATTAACGATTATGAGCAACAATTGGATCACTTCACCCATCACAGAGCTCCTTCCTCTCCCTAGACTTTTGCACAAGGTAATTCTTGACCTTATATTGGAGTACCGCCGAAACTGGTTTGTAATCGGTTCCGGACGATTGTTGGAAGGATAAGAGCCTCTCTGAAGTCCTCTATTAGTGTCCTCAGACCTCGCGGAGTCCATGCATTCTCGCGTAGAGCTATTTTAGGTTTGAATTAATGAGCAGACGTTTTTACATTTAAGGTTTTTGGCCTTGCAAGAAGTTTGCAGCTGTCGTAAAATGAGTTCGAGCATTTTTACAAGTGTTATTGCGTGATCCATTTGTAATGATAACACTTGTACTAAGCAAGTATGCTGTAATGATAAGCTACAATAATAGGTTCATCCTTTATCGAGGCCATGCGGCTGCAATTACGCTACCTGATACGTATTGACAATTGAAGGAAATATTTTCGCAGGCAGCAGTTAAATATGCAGTGAATTCCCATTAAAGGGTCTGTCGAAGATGTCAGATGGATTTGGACAGGATAAGATTTTCAGCGAAAATTTCTCTGCTCTTAAAGTGTAAGAGCATTTTCTAGTCGCGCCATTTGCCAGAAGCTTTGAGGGTATGAAGAAAGGAAAAGACAAGAAGAGCTGGGCGAGAAGGAGATAGGACCTGTGGAGAGCAGTGGTGAAAGCAGAAGTATGTGAGGAATGAAACGATTTGTAGATAGGGATCCGATCGTCTAAACAGTGCAGATGTGACCAAGTGCCTCTTGCCACTACATCAAATTCATTATCAAAGCCTACTACATGGTAAAAAGAGGAAATTCGATAGATCGATACTGTTCAGGTGTAATTAAGCATTTCAGGTCCGGCTGCAAACGATGCCTCGACCAAAGCCAGGAGAGCCACCGCTGTTCAGAGGAGCGTTGGACTGCGTGAAGCAAACAGTCGCCAAAGAGGGTTTCTTCGCGCTTTATAAGGTGAGCCCTTGAACCTGGCCTGGGACTGTGGAGTGGGGTCGGCTGTATACCTTCCCCGCCCCGGCGCCCGCTCGAAGGCGGGTTTTTTTGGGAAGAAGTCCAAAAAATTGGAAGGAAGCTGGGACATGTATGCAACATGTAAAAATGGTAGATAGGATGGGGAATGGGTTACGGGGGGAGGGTTGCACCAAAGAAAGGAAATCTGAGAAGGAAGCAAGAACTTTTTCCCAACGGCAGGAGATGTTCTGAATTTGGCAGAGAGGACTAAGGCTGTTCTCCCGTGTCTGCCTTATTAATTTGCTTGTTTTTATAAATCATGGCGATTACTGTGGATTAATGATCCACATGGAGATCAGTTTTTCAAAGTAGTTCGGTTTAGGGAATGGCCGCTCCACTGGCCGGAGTAAGTCCCCTGTTTGCGGTGTTCTTTGCCGGTTGTGCCGTTGGTAGACATCTGCAGACGTCGGATCCAAGTGATTCTACTTAATCAGTTTTTTTCTTCAAAGCGATTTCAAC